AACTTCGTCATATCCATGCGTGACACTAGTTCCTTTCAGGTGAGATGGAGCGTTGTCGGAAGAGAAACATAAAATTATCAGTAAAAAACTTCATTTTGTGAGGCGCTTGGTGCATACAACTCACTTGTGTGAGATCACAGGCGCTATACATACATACACAATATATATATATATATATATATATATATATATATATATATATGCATATGCATCAGTGTAACGCTTCTTGTATAGCCAATCAGAGCTGTGGCTCGTATTTCTCCCGCAACCACACAGGCTTTCAGGGTTCCGCGACAGTGTGCAAACTGCCGCGATGTAGTGGTTGATAAGAAGTGTTGACCACAGACTTTGAAACGGTTTCTTCAGTGCCGATTTACAAATCACTGCCGTCAGCACGACCAGTTGTGCCACTTGCCCGGACAGTATACACACACGAGGGCTCGTCCTTGAGCCTGTTCCGTGCTCGACCTATCAGCCGATGTTGCATCAGCTCCGTCTCCGTCCCCGGCGAGTTCCGATACCACGCTGGGTCGGTGGCGGGCTCTGTGCCGTGCCAGTCCGGCTACAATGCTGAAATCAGCGCGTATCAGCCGGGGACTGCTCTCCGCCAGGAATGAAAATCCACTTACAAGAAGGCTAAAACGTTTAAGTATGTTCTCGGCGTAAGAGTAGGCTAAGTTTGCTAATCACGTGGCCTAGCTGGATTACCGCGCCAAGTCCGTGATTTGCTTTGTCAAGGACGAGGCATAGAAGTCGGCGAATCGTTTTTTTGGATCCGCAAGGTGACGCGTTCGTGACACATTAACTAGCAAATATACCCGCATCAACCGGCTCTTTATAAGTCCATGATAGTCGTACTGCTGATGGTTCAGGAAGACTGTTGCCAACAAATACCATGGTAGTATTTTCACATGCTTAACAGCTTGTTCACAATGGGGTAACGAACCCGGCAGCTCTCAAACTACGGCGTCATTTTTCCATGGAGAACGGGTCTCCAGTGTCGCATATCAAGACCGTGGACAACGCAGAGGCCCCGCGCAGGGCTTGGAGATTCCCCTACGCGTACCAAACGCCGCAGCTTCATCCCAATCGGGTGGTTGTCTCAGGCATCTGTTCCTCCGATAACGGCCTTGGTTGCGCGGGTGCCGCAGATAGCGGTGGCCTCGGACGCAGTGTGGCCCGTTAAAATGCGCCCCCCCCCCCCCCCTTATCGCAGCCATCGTGGCGTGGCGTGAACCTGTCAGTCGTCGCCAATGCTGGCGCAATGCGCGTAGTGTAGGTGACATTCTCAAGCGTCCGAAACTGGCGCGTCTATCTTTTTAGTATCTGCCTGTGAGGTTATCTGCGGCGATGCCGGACGGACGCACGTGTGCATTACTGAAACCCTGTATGTGTGTACAGGATGTAGCACACAGCTCTCATCCCGCGGATCATGAACGCGTAATGATGTGCTGGTGGTAAAAACCGAGTCGGCTCTTCCGTGCCGAATGCATTAGGATAATTGTTTAAGAAATTGCTGGTCTGCTGATGTGTCGAAATGTGCCTTACTCCCTGCGGAGAAGCCAATTAAAGCTGCGACAATGTCGCGTAATTCCATAAGCCATCGACACAGCCGTCGCCACAGGTGGGGAAGAGAAGGGGCAAAATAAGAAATTTACCCCCAGATCCAGTTTTCAGGACGGTATCCCCTAGAAGCTGTGCAGAGCTTCGGGGGTTGCGTGAAGTTAACGATGAGAAGCCACAGCGGAGCATGGAAGGAACTGTGCGAAACGGCCGAAGAAGGATGACAGATGACAGGCAATGGACACTTGTTGAATTCCACAAAAGTGCTGACGCTCAGTCGGTATGATACATCAGTCTTAAATCACCGCATCCCGAGGAGACTGCGACGCCAGCAACTGTCACGTTCTCTCCTCTTTGCTGTAAACACAACCTCAGGTACCCAGTGGTCGAATGGAGCTGAAATTTCGCAAGCGCTCATTTGAAGATGTTCCGGCTTTTTTCGGCACAAACATTAGCACTTGATGACAGGCAAGTATATCATTTAGATGCAATCAAAAGGCCTTTCGAAGACGGAGAAAGTGGTTAGGCAAGATAGGGTACTGCTCACGACATTCGTTTGCATATAATCATCCCCGTCATTTCCAGTTGCAAGCAAATGTACCAATGACGTTAAATCCTCGAAAAACAGTTTGACCTTTGCCTCCGCCGCGACCGCATCGGTCAGGCCGAGTTCCGAGACGGCGGGTCGGCCTGGGCCATGTGTCCACCGGGGGTGCATCTTTACGAGCGCACGACGGCTCGCGGCCGTGTCCACGTAAGTCATACAGGCATACAGCCTTTGACGCTGGTGTGTGCTAGCGACAAGGATCTTTTGAGGGTACCTGCCGGCCAGCGACTCATCGCAACAGCACATCAATGACTGACTAAAGAGAATGCCGACTGACTGACTAAACTACTGATTAAAGAAGGTGCCGCGCCGCAACAGGGACAGCAAAGTTGACCTCTCCGCTTCAGCCCATTTTCCAGACAGCGGTAAACAACATGCCATGACTCAGAGGTCAGTAAGCGACATGTCAAGAAGTGGGACGGCAGTCAGGCTACTGCTGAGCACGCTAGAGCAGCCGCCATGCCCAACAACTCGGCACTCGGAGGTTCAAGACGTGATCGGGCCGAATCTGGCGATCGCCGTCCTGCTACAGAGCGAGGCGCCACGAACTGAGACCTTGACTGTCTGTGCCGTAGGCTGGAGTCCTACACTGATACAGTCGTGGCCAATTTGCGGATGCAGATTCAGGATTGTTAGTAATATCAAAGGGAAATCGCCAATGAACTCAATGCCAAAAACTCGTTTCAAGGACATGCACGGACATGCCGAGCTCATAAATAAAGAGGTGTCAAACCTCGAGCAAAAACTTCGACGGGCAATAAAAACGCTGAAAGACAAATTCAAAAAGAACGAAATTAATTCCAGACATGATGTCTGATCCTGTCCGGCCCAGCTCACGCCAAAGCTCAGTCAACTGAGAGCTAGCAAGTGCGAAAAAACGCAGAGCAATAGTGGTCACGACGATAATCAAATCACTCCGAAATATGAAACTTGACGCAAAGAAATCGATCGGGCTCACCATCTTCCCGACCCAGGCAACAAAATCATCTGCCGATTCGGTAGAACTAGGTGGGCTCAGTACGAGACTCCATTTACCAGCAACGGCTCGAACTTCAGGACAAGACCCTCTTCATCAACGAGTCTCACCCGGCGGCGCTCTGAAATCTTCAATACATTTTTAGAGATACACGTGTTTACCCGCGGTGGAAATGCTCATTACAAGCGCGAGGAGTTTTCGACCAGCGTGAGGGTGGACTCAATGGAGAAGGTGATCTCACTCGGCTCTTGAGTAGAATCGGTCTGGCATCGTCGGCGCATGCACCTTCTGAAAGTGTGCACGCGCTTCCAGTAGCTTTGCCACAATGAGCTCGTTGGAAGACTGCCCCAGACTTATGATTCGGAGATAAGCTGCGTTGCTCCCCTGGCGTCTCGTTTGTGCAATGCTCTGTGCACGCGTCCACCGCCTGTCACCCACTGGTCGGCGGACGGGTCCACCGTTTGTTCCTCTGCTTATGGGCCGGTGCAAATGCGCAGGCTCCTGCTAGCAACATTGTTCAGACCGACGTCCAGTCCGGAGACCTTTGACCTTGACCCCAGCCCCTGAATCACGTCGTCTGCGGCGGTGCGACCTGTTTGCCAACTGTTCCAGCCCTGGCTGGGATCGGGCTCGGTTTGGTCTCCCCAGTATGCCGCGCGCTGTGGATGGCCAGCAACGCGGCTACCGGTTACCGGAGCAATAAGTGAGAGACTGCGGTAGCGTTTGAGTATGCGTAATTTTAACTTATATCGGTCTCCTAGCCGCGGCAGCCGCTGCACGAGCTTCCGGCAGTGAGCTGAGAGGCCAGTCGGTCAGCCGGGAGTGTGGACGGTTAGCTGATCCGGCCTCTCGGCCGGCCGGTCGACCATCCGTGTGCCCGGCTGGCTGGAGGCGGCCGGCGCCGCATCACGGGGGTCCGCCGCGTGTCACGCGGGGCGGCGCCCGCGGCGATGAGTACTGGGAGGATGTGTTTTAAGCCACTGTTCTTTTGCGCGGTCCGTTAAGTGGTCCAGTAAATGCAGTCAAGACGCGGCCGTCCGTGTGATCTGTGCCCTGTCTCTGGACGCCGATCCAAGTTGGGGCCGTGCCGCTTATGCAGGCCAGACACGGCTGGCGTTGTGCCGCTTATGCGGCATTTACAACAATCAAACAAGAGAGTGGTTAAGCGCGCGTTCGTGACTCCTTGCCCGGCTCAGTGGTGACGCCGCATCGGCGAGGCGTCGGGTGTCCGTCAGCCGCCGGCGGACGGCCGACCCTCGCCCAGCCTCGTCAGCTGGCGGCTCAGCTGAGTGCCCAGCGACGACTGCTAATCCAAGCGTTACGCCTGTGTCGCAGGCGAGAGGAGCCAGCTCCCAGTGCCACTAGTGGTGCACGCTGTTTGTGGACGCTTGCCAGACCTACCATGACGTCACATTGCAGGCTGGCACGCGGCCTGACGGCTGTCGTCAAAGAGCGGGCGCAAGTCATCCGTTGCCGAGTTATGGTGCTGACGTGACGCTGGCGAGAAGAGGGTGTGAAAGTGTGAAGGCGCTGGCCGACCTCTTCTCAGCTGCACTTTTGATGGCCGCGCCGCGGCGGCTTCGGGCTCGAAACTGCAGGGTGACGTGTCTGCAGCGCCACTGCCGCGTCGTTACGTGCACGCTCTCGCGAGCTCGGCCCGGGCTGGGCCCGGCGGCAGCCCGCGCCCGCAGAGCTCCGGCGTCAGCCTACGCCTGCAGAGCTGCCGCGGCGACGGAGCGCCGCCGCACGCGACGCGCTGCGGTCTGACCTCCGACCCCGCGCGCGCCGGAGGTCGTGCGGGTCACGCGCGCTGACCGCCGCCCCGGGCGCGTCGATAAGATAGGGTGCGGGCGGCGGGAGCGGCCCGGAGGTGCTCCTGACAGGGCGCCAAGGCAGGATGTGGCTCCTCTGGACTGCGCTGGCTGGCCTGGCCCTCTTGGTCGTACTCGGGTACCGCGAGAAGAAGCACAAGCGCGGTGGAGTGTACACCCAACCTGGTGAGTCGGCGGCGGACTGGCACCACAGCCATTAAACACGCTGAATAGCATTTGGGCGATTTTCTCCGCATTTTAGATCGCGTTGCAGAAGAAAAGTGGGTGGGAGGGGGGAAGCTTTCGTGCCGGAGTGCTCAATGCCAGTTCCTATTTTAAGCATTGCCAGCTTGCATACACGTTTGTGCGAACGACGCCTGCATATGTGGCACGCTAAAACCAATGACTGTGGATGATTGATGACACTCATTGCGCCTGTTACATTCCTTGAAACATTCAAGAAAATTTAACCTTTTTGAATAGCTACAGGTCGTCTGCCTGCGCATGGTAGTGCATTTCAAGTGTGCCGCAAAACAAAATCCTGCCAAGACTGTATGCGGCTTACCAAATTTGCAATCAGGCAATGCCTGAGTCTTCGTTTACATTCGATGTTAGGTCGCGTGGATATGTGTAAATACGCATACCGTAGGACATACGCGCTTGCGTATGGCAGGGATTGTTCACAGGATCGGACACGTAGCGCTAGTTCACCTCTATCCATAAGGTCTCAGAGTAAGGCATTCAAAAATACCTACGCCCTCTGATATATGTGTCGTCCGGTTAACCAGACGCTCCGTTATATTAGTAACGCGTCAATTACCTGTACTGAATCCGATTCAGACACCATCCCTGTTCGCTTGGCGAGAGAGGCACCGTGCTGTAACCCGCACAGTTGTTTGTGATCCCGTATTCAATCCCGCCTTTCGCTAGAAACGGCTAGTGAATGCCTCCCATCCCCTGTCTCTCGCTAGAAACGGTTAGGGAACACCTCCCATCCCCTGCATCTGGTTCAAAACGGCTAGTGAATGCCTCCCATCCCCTGTCTCACGCCAGAAACGGCTAGGGAACAGCTCCCATCCCCTGCATCTGGCTCAAAATGGCAAGTGAATGTCTCCCATCCCCTGTCCTCTCGCTAGAAACGGACTAGGGAACACCTCCCATTCCTGCGTCTGGCTCAAAATGGCAAGTGAATGTCTCCCATCCCCTGCCTCACGCCAGAAACGCGTGTGAAAACAGCTCTCGGGCAAGCAACGCCCATATAATCATGACCTGTGGCATACGCGTCAGCGTCGGCAAGCCGCCAGAGTCCGCTGGACTGCAGGAACCACGTCAGCAGTATCTGACACGGAGGGGAGGGCCTTGTCACCTGATCAGAGGAGATAGCGCCGCTGACGGCATCGCGCTGGGCTGAAGGTGACCAGGAGACAGCTGCTGGCCGCCAAGATGTCCTCGATTCACCGGACCATGGCTGACTGACTGACGGTGACCAGGACACGGCTGCTGGCCGCCGAGACGGCCCCTTTACCGGACCGGCTGACTGACTACCGATAACCAGGAGCCGGCTGCTGGCCGCCGAGACGGCCCCGTTTACCGGACTGGCTGACTGACTGACGGTGACCAGGACACGGCTGCTGGCCGCCGAGACGGCCCCTATTTACCGGACTGGCTGACTGACTGACGGTGACCAGGGACGGCTGCTGGCCGCCGAGACGGCCCCTGTTTACCGGACTGGCTGACTGACTGACGGTGACCAGGAGCGGCTGCTGGCCGCCGAGACGGCCCCTATTTACCGGACTGACTGACTGACTGACGGTGACCAGGCCGGCTGCTGGCCGCCGAGACGGCCGCCGAGACGGCCCCTATTTACGGACTGGTGAATGACTGACGGTGACCAGGACACGGCTGATGGCCGCCGAGACGGCCCTATTTACGGACTGGCTGACTGACTGCCGGTGACCAGGAGGCGGGGCTGGCCGCCGAGACGGCCCCTGTGTACCGGACTGACTGACTAGCTGACGCTGCAAATATTCGGCTGTAAGCGGTCAAGGGTCGACCCTGCTATGTTGCAAGACAGAGCGCCCTTTTTACAGCGTGTAATCAAACGTCACCCGATTGCTATGACGATGCGTGAAGGAGGTTGCGTAACACTTACCGGGCATCAGTCAGCTCGCTTTCCCAGGCTGTAGAGTCGACAATTCCTGTCATAACTCTGCAGAAAGCACAGCTGGTGAGCATGGGCTGCGAAAGGTAGGAAGGACTTCACCACGGTGTGCTGCTTAAACAGACAAAGTAGGGAAATGCAAGCCGTTTTCACTAAAAGTTAAAGTTTTGTAACGTTGTCTGATGGCCAAGCTATAGTGTTTTAAGTGACAGGAATCACCCATCAATTTCATGTTTGCAATTATGGGCTCACGTCATTTGTCATTTGTTATTAAGCGTGCAGCATAAATGTGGTGTGCCTAATTGAACTCGTTGCTATTAGTTAGTTGTAAAAACGACCTCAAAGCTAACAAATACGCCAGGTCAGACCCAAGTCAGTGGGCCTGTCGATGAAATGTTTTGAACCTTACGCTTCGGGGCAAAGCAGTCAGTCAGTAAAAGCTCCTGCAGTGAGTTGACATTCATTTTACCAGGAGGTGTTGGTAATACGATATCACAATGTTGTGATACTAATGTTGTAATACTAATGTGTAATACTAATCACAATGATGTTGACGGTACTCTAAGTCCGTACTTAGTACTTGGTACTTAAGTACCGTACCTAGCACCGGTACCGTACTTATATGATTCATGAGTATCATGTAAGCGTACGACACGACACAGACACATACCAGATGTAACATAGGCATAGGTATGGACATGACATGGATACAGACACGACCACAGCCCAGACCCGCCACACCACAGCACGGACCAGACCAGACCGACACGACACAGACACGACCAGACCAGATACAACACAGACAGACACAACACAGACCCGACATAGCACAGACAAAGACACAGACACAGATACAGCAGATACACCAGAAGCAACTCGACACAACATAGACAAAGCACAGGCACGGGCACAGGCACAGCACGACACAAGACACAAAATGAAAAGATAGTGTAGAGGACATAGAGCATATGGAAGGAGATGCTATATTATATATATATATATATATATATATATATATATATATATATATATATACATACATCATCCACAGGAACACTTTGACAAAGACCCGCATCCGTGCGTTCCTTTTCCTACCTGCCCATCACCCATTAAGATGCGGCCAGGAATGGCAAACTCTGTCCACCGCCACACGCAGAGACTAACGTTAATATCGGCATAAGTAATTGATAAATAAAAGGACGCATCACTTCCAGCTAAGAAATGGAAAACCTACTACTCATGTTTATCCTATACCCTACCAATCATGGAATCGACATGATCTCCACTATAGCATGTCGAGAGCAAGCCAAACGACGAATTTTCGGCTCGATCACAAAATGTGTGAATCATTCAGAGAACTCATCGCGTCGTTATGTGGCCCTCCTGCTCTTATTAAAAGGCATGTGCCACCTGTTGATCAAAATTGAACAAGTCGGGTGAAAAAAATCACCTATGGACATCGAAAATCCTCTTGTCGAACAATAATCTCAACGTATTCCCAGACTCAGACCATCACTGTGGATGCACTTCTTCCGTCCATTTTGTTTCTCCCAGCTGTGGGCAAAATGCTATGATGACGCACATAATGGAGTAGAGTATGTGTGAAGTAAATTGCTAGTAAAAGATAGCTGAAGAAAGAGAAACGTGCAAATGAGTGCCAAATCTCATCACTATTTGACGCTGATGCCAATTTAAGGCTTATTTCGCATCTTGGCAACGCCTCATCACACTGGAACAACGTGCGCAGCCACCTGGCAGGACTCAGCGTGATTGCCACCTGGTTGGCTGCTGGTTGATCTGGTAGCTGCTGGTTGGGCGCCCCGCCCGAACACCCTCGCAGCCATGGTCGGGGACTCCTATACGGAACAAACCTCCACATCTGATGCAAGCCAGGGCGGATGAACTATTCTGTTGATAAGCCCCTCGTGCCCTTTGATCATTTTCATGCAGTTCAAATGTTCTATCTAGGCGGAAAGAAAATTTACATAACAGGACAAGACGTCGCATTATACACGCCAACCATCACCTACCAGCGGCTATCTATATTGGACGCTTCACCAAATTGCTGTTGGCAAGTGGTGAGAGCCCATGCTTCCACCGCCGACCGTTCTGGACCCTGTATCATAGACGATGTCTGCCGGCCCGACTTCCTTTCCGCTGTGAAGTACCTGGCCGGTGTGGCTGATGCTGCAATTATGGCGCTGAGTTGTCTGCTGACCGATAACATCACTCGGCCTGTCCTGCCATAATCCGCCAGCCGATGTATGGCGCTCGCCGAGGGGCACGTGACACGTTCAGCTGTGTCCGACACTTGAGCCTAGTCAGGGACTGAACCGAGATATGTTGAAGAGGGGGACGGGGCAGAGGCACTCGTCTTTAACTGGTCTTGAAAACATGCCATTTTGTATACGCCATGCAAGAAATTGCGCACGTCTGCGGTGCGTTCAAGGGGTTTGCAGTGAGCACTTACATAAGCGTAATGCCTAAGTTGCTCTCATCATTGTGGCATCCAGCAAATGCGTATGAGCCCAGTTTTCACTACGCCGGCACCCGCCCGTTTACATCCGGTTACGCGCCCGGTTACGCCTCAAGTTACGCGTCAGGTTACGCATCAAGTTACGCGTCTGGTTCCTTGCGTCAGCGACCGTCGCCGACCGCATGGGCGAAGGCGGTTGAAGTGAATAGGCGTAACTATATGATATATACATATATATATATATATATATATATATATATATATATATATATATGCGTGTGTGTGTGTGTGTGCGTGTGTGGGTATATATGTCTATTATACTACTCGCAAAACGTTTCACAGAACAACGGCTGCATCATCAGACAAAAGAGCACACACGTTCAGTATTGTTTGAAGGCACAGACACAGACACAGTGGTGTTGGTCGTATGTTGGTCGTCTGTCATTGCATGAACGTGTGTGGTATTTTCAATTTGCCTGGGCGTGTTTTAAACCACTAAAATTTACACTGAACGTGTGTATCCCTTTGTCGAATAATACAACCGTTGTACCGTGAAGCGCGTCGCGAGCAATGCAAAGTTGATCAACATATGTTGATATAAGTCACTTCTTAGTGAGGAAGCTACTTATGCGCACAGGCATTGACGTCCTGACCCCTCCCTTCCGGTGGATTCGTTTCGATGTTTCGCGCCGTTTCTCTTGCTTTAAGCCACTCTGCTTCCTGCCTGTTTAAGCCAAACTGCAATGCGGAAGGACACTTCACGTGCTTTGCAATTCCGTACGATACAAGTGGTCAGTGCCTCATGGGCCCATCTTGGCCTGGTGCCAGCAGACCACTTCGTGTCGCTCGATCCAAACAATGGCTCATTTTCTAACTCATGCAGATCGCGATTGGGTTGCAACCGCATTATCTTTTCTCTAAACCACTACGGTAAAATGCCATCGTCGTGTAGAGAAGAGTGAGACAACGCGGTTTACGGTCGATGCAAGAGGGTCGCGTGCTACTCTTGTTTTGTTTGGTCTTGTTTGTTGTTGTTTGGTCCCACTTCAGTGGAATTGATCCCGACTCGAACAAACAGTGCATGAGACTGATTCCAACGTAAGTTGACTACGATTTCGACTCGAGGAAATGTGACTCAATTTTGGAATAGAGTCTGACGCAGTCGGTGCTGATAACAACGGTCTGGGAGATGCATGTGAAGATGAACTTGACAAAGGCATGAGCGGATGGTTCATTTTGGTAACAATACAACTGTATGGCTGGAATTCATTGTCAGCTGCATGGCTGTTATTCATTTACAGCTGTATGGCTGGGGTTCATTGTCAGCTGCATGGCTGTTATTTATTTACAGCTGTATGGCTGGGATTCATTGACAGCTGTACGGCCGGGATTCATTTACAGCTGTATGCCTGAGATTCATTTGGTGGATATACGCTGTAACAGGCTATGAGCTTTGGCTGCCGTTTTTATTTTGCACTAATTTGACTGATCGTGGTCTCTGACGACTCAATTCCGTAGCTGATTCACGACAAAATGTGAGTCCTCTTCGACGCATGTCGTCAAACGAATGTTGGATACACGTGGATGTAAGCATGCATTCTATTCCAGTATGAGTGGAAACGTGGTGAGCACAGGGGCGAATTTTGGCTCCGCCGGCAGTAAAACACGCGTCTGGCGCTCAAGGAAGGCGAAACAATGCTGCCTTAAAGCCCGTGTTGCCTGGTCGGCCGTGAGAGATTTAGAGTGATGGAGCAGGAGTGATTTGGCGCTTTTCACGTGCCAAATGTGTGATGGAGGCGTCGTCGTCACTCCTCGTCGGATGTGACTAAAACTGCCCAAAACTGACGGTAAGCCGACGGCTACTGGATCTCAATCCTTCACTGTTACAGGGCACAGCACTGACTGAACCACGCGTTCACAGATCATCGTTCGCGTGGTGGTATGATCATTTCATTAGCGTACCTCTCGCTGTCGGCCCCTTGAAGGTCAGTGTTGCGGCCAGTCTTCGCGACCGCTGGTGTCCACCGGAACAGAGCACGCTCAGTGTTCTGGAACAAGTAGTCCAAGCGTTATTGCCTATTGACATGCCTTGGCACGAGTGATGTAATGCTGCTTTAGTGTTCCCGGACTGGCACAAGACTCAGGGCTCAGTGCCGCCCACCACACCATGAATGCTCTTGTTCCGTCCTTGCTACCATAAGCAAATATGTGTATATTTATGGATCTCGCCCATGTCAGGAATGCTCCACCAAAAACCTTCAGAGTGTAAACATTGATCACGCCTCCCGAGTCCTATTGCGTGAGGTACTCTACGGACCACTCCGGCACTGACCACACTGAACCTTCTGCAGGCCTCTGTTACGAGCTGAAGCGGGCGCTGGCCTGGGCGCACTTCAAGTTCGTCCGACTGCGACGCGTACCCAGGGTGCAGAGCCACGTCGACACCGGACCCTCCGACTACGTCACCAATGGCTTCGTTCCCGCCCCGGAGGATGAGCAAGCTGAACAGCTCCGACCTCTGGAGTCGGCAGAGGTGAGGTGGCAGACCTCTGGAATCGGCTGAGGTGTGATGGTCAGACCTCTGGAGTCGGCAGAGGTGAGATGGCAGACCTCTGGAGTCGGCAGAGGTGAGATGGTCAGACCTCTGGAATCGGCAGAGGTGAGATGGTCAGACCTTCTGGAATCGGCAGAGGTGGACATGGTTTCAGACCCTGGAGAGGCAGAGGTGAGATGGTCGGACCTATGGTAGTCGGCAGACGTGAGGGATGGTCAGACCCCTGGAGTCGCAGAGGTGAGATGGTCGGACCTCTGGAGTCGGCAGAGGTGACATGCGTCAGACCTCTGGAATCTGAAGAGGTGTGAGGGTCAGACCTCCTGGAGTCGGAAGAGGTGAGGTGGAGACCTCTGAGTCATCAAGAGTTAGATGGTCAGACCTCTGGAATCGGCAGAGGTGACATTGTCAGACCTATGGAGTATGCAGCAGAGGCGAGAGGTCGGGGAGGGCGGGGATCGGACACTCTGGAGCGGCAGAGGTGAGATGGTTCATCAGACCTCTGGAGTCGGCAGAGATGAGATGTTCCGCCGCCAGCTAGATTGCCGAACCCTCTGGTATGAACTTAGATTGCGCTGCTCTTTTGCTTTCTTTCATCGTCGCTTAAAGGCTTAGGTAAGTCCTTACACTCATTATTTTCCCGTTCGAGGCTGTGTTGCGTTTGATCCCTTACAAGGTCGGATTCAAGGGGCCCAACAGGGCTATAATCTCACGAAATATAACATGTGAGTGCTTATTTTCCACTATGTTTGCTTAAGCTTCGCACCCTGCTGGCAACATAATGCCCAAACTAGATCTGAACCCTCCCGAATTTCATGTCGAAGCCGTCGAAGGCCTTCAAACGTCCCTGAAGCTTGCTCCAGGCAATACAGGCCACTCGCATCCGCAGCTGGTTGCTTCAGACAACTAGCACAAAGCCGGGTGTGGGGCGTTAATCTGGGTCTAACCAAGTGTCTCGGATTAAGGTGATCAAGTACCACAGATTGGCGTCAGGCAGTAAAGATATGAAGGCTGCGTGATAGGTACTGCTACCGGTGATGGACTTAACTAAGAGAGGCACACAACCAAAGCATCCCATGTTGGATCCTTTCCAACATGCAATGGAAAGGATCCAATATAAAATTGGACTAGACGACAAGCGAAAGAACCCAACATGTGACTTTCGAACAGGCGACATGCACACAGCAGCGGCTGCCCAAGCGTCCCACCAATGGCTGTCATGCTGACCTTCTGGACCCGTGGGATTTTCCTAATCCACGAAGTACCCACGAGAGTCTGTCGGCAAAGCTGGATTCCTTCAAGCGTCAAACTCCGTGTTTAGTCATTTATTTCACTCATTTAAGCACTAGCTCAAAAGGCAGATCCGCACTGCGGCCGCATGAAGACCAGCTGCTGCCTTCAGAGCCTGCCGGTGGCCGTACGGAGACCAGCTGTTGTCTTCAGAGCCTGCCGGCGGCCGTGGGAAGATCAGCTGATGTCTCCAGAGCCTGCCGGCGACCGTAGGAGGGCCAGCGGCGGGTCAGCGGTCGTGTCCGGATGGTCTGACCACGGCTGTCGCCGTTCCAGGCGAGTGACGACCTCACCTTCTTCGGCTGCGATTCGAAGGGCGGGGCGCTGCTGGTGCGCATCGTCCGCCGCCCCGGCCGCCAGGCCGAGGTCCTGCTGCTGCTCCAGATGGATGGCCAGCTCTATCAGCTGCCTGGTGAGATTACAAAAAAGACATTTACCGCACGGACCTGCTGACGACCTTACAGAGATCAACTGCCGCCCCACATAACCGTGGTGAACATTGAGGCTACACCAGTGGCTGGAGGAAGGTTTCGCAGGCGACACTTCTTTTGTCACAGACAGTTTCATAACTATGAGCACCTTGGTTCTCCGTTCCGCCGCGCCGCCGAGACACTGTATTCACGATGACGTCACGCAGGGATGCCGGACACGACCGTCTACAACACAGCTCCCGCCAGCTGGGAGGCGGCCGGTCTGGCCATGGAGTGTGTGGTTCCGATGAGGCTCTGGCGCATCACGTACCAGGGGCAACTCAGGTTAGTCACATGGCCACAGCCTGTGAGCACCGATGCGGGCGGTGGAGTCCTTACCGGCGTACTAAAGCTGTACTGGTGTGAAGCGGTGCGTTAAAGAAGCTCTAGTTTTGAACCTGGCAGGTGTGGGGCAGGTTTGCACTGCTAAGAACCCAAGGCAAAAAGACTTTCTTTGAATCAAGGTGATGTCGACGCTCAACGCTTTAATTTCGCATGGTGTAGAGCTGCATTAACATATGTACCAAGCCAACGCACGAAAATGGATCGACTGCATCGCGTCAAAACGTCACCGGGCCAATTTCGGTGTGGTAGACCGCACCCTTTCCACCTGTTTGGACCTGACCCTAGGGGACTGCGCTGCGCCGTCCCCCGCCCCTTCATGCTCTGTCCTCCCAGCCAACACCCGGGACCGGCCCGCCTCCTCGCAGACGCAGCTCTGGGCCGACGGCCGCCGGTGGCGCCACCTGCACGGCCGGGGAGCTGGTGCCGGCACGGCTGCGCCTGCTCTGGCGGCCGCTGTCGACCCCGCGAGACCTGCGAGACTGCGACACGGACCTGATGGTGTGCGCTGTGGCCCGAGAGCTCTGGACGCCTGAGTTCCTCTCGCTGATGGGGTGAGAGGACGCCCACCTGGCCGGGAACCTGACTCTGGAGCAGAGCGTTCGGTCCCGGCAGATCTCTGGACGCTCAAGTTCCTCTCGCTGATGGAGTGAAGGGACACTCGCCTGGCTGGGGACCCGACTCTAGGGCGGAGCGCTCGGTCCTGACAGAGTTTCAGCGTCGCTGCCATCTTGTAGCCAGCAATCCGGCTTATAGGCAGCCTTACAGGGTTAAGTGTTTATTACTGTAATGGACTATTTAAAGCGTTAGCTGTGCAAGCGTGTGCTTGTGTAAGGTCAAACACGCAGCCACGTAACCTCCGGCTGCACCAACCCCGGTGTCAATGGGACGAATTTGAGAGGGTAGTCGCCTGATATGACACACTCAGTTTGTTGCGTTTATCTGAAAAACATATCATATATTCGTGGGAGGGTTGCTGAGTCCGAGGTCGCGTGACTCACAAATGGTAATGCTGAAACTATCCTGAAAATATTTTCTTGTGACCTGAAGGCTTCGTCCAGTGATCTGACAGCAACTGTGCATCATCATTACTGATGTGACTATTGCGTAACTAGGATCCTGACACATCTCAGTTTATCTCAGCCGTACGATACGCGAAACTTGACCGATTTTACCAGGTTAAAGCTGGCTTGAATCTGCACCTGCGGATGCAGATGATCATCACTAGTCCATCATCACATCAACATCATCATCATCACATCATCATCTGCAAACGAGATTTGCATCGACTGGGACGTCAGTCCATATATAAAACCGCACTACGCACCGTAAACAGCGGGAGCTTACAGCCTCGTCGCGGTCATTCTGTACCTGTGCCTTCCTCTGGCAGCCGCCCCCCTCCCCCCCCCCCGACACCCGCCTGCACTTTTGCTCCGTTTCTGTCCGAGCGTCGGCTGATCTGACCCCGACCCTCTGAAACTGGCCAGGTCGTTCTCCCTGGACGGGTACGTGCAGTTCGGCAGCCTGATGGGCCAAGTGGCGCTCTCCGGCGGCGAGCCCATCGAGGTGCGCCTGAGGGGTCCCCGCCAGCACGCCTGGTCCGGCGCCGACGGACAGGCGCAGGCGGCACGCCGGCACCGCAGCCTGCGCCTGCAGGCGCGCCTGGAGGACGGCGGCATGCTTCTCCTGGCGGCCGACAGCTGGCCCGACGGCATTACACAGTGAGGGCCGCGGCGTCGCCGCCAGCCTGGTACTCTGACGGTTGGTGTGGTCATATGATGGCTGGTGTGGTTATGTGACGGCTGGGGGGATGGGGGGATGGGGCGGTTAATTGATGATGCAGCGGGTGACATGGTGATGTGATATCCCGGACAATGTACAGATGTAACGGGTGATGTGGCGATGTGACGATCAAGTGCTGATGTGACGGGTGATGCGTGGATGTGAGGGGTGATGGGGGGATAGAAGAGTGATGTGGTGATATGACATGTGATGCAGTGATACGACAGGTGATGTGATGATTGACGGGTGATGTGATGATGTGATGATTGATGGGTGATACGGTGATGTGATGACTGGGGATGATGTGGGGATATGGCAACGTGATGATTGACAAGTGATGTGGTGATTGATGGGGCATTCATTGGACATTACAGTGATTACCAGGTGATGTGGCGATGTGATGGTTGATGGATGATGTGGTGATGTGACAATGTGATGATTGACGAATGATTGGATGGTTGATGGGTGATTTGGTGATTGACCGGTAATATGGCGGTGTGATGATTGTCGGGTGATGTGGTTATGTGATGAATGACGATCGATGTGGTGGTGTGGCACTGCGATGATTAACGAGCGATGTTATGACGTGACGATGTGATAATTGACCAATGATGTGGCGACGTGATGATTGACGAATGATGTGACGATGTGATGATTACTGGGTGATATGGTGATGCGATGGATGATGTGGTGATGTGATGATGTGATGATTGACGCATGATGTGGTGATGTGACCCGTGGCGTGTACCTGCAGAATGGTGATGCATTGCGGTGTGCCCTGCCGTGTGCTGTCTGATGGTTCATGAGCAAGTCACTGTGTTGGAAAGGAATTCGCCGTTTTGCCGAGTGTTGCGAGCTTCCGAAACAACCTGTATGATGCGGCTAGAGAGAAAAACCGTGCCTTATGCAACGTTAATTCACGTAAATAGAATGCAATACACACGCCCATGTCTGTACTGGCCGAGTGTCCTGTGCTGATTGACGAAATCAGCTGCAGATAGCTAACGACGATTTCGCTCATTTCTGCGTCCGTTTCAGCCTGGTGTACGGCATGTACATGAGCCCGGCCCTGGAAGTGGCGACGGTGACCTCCTGCAACCTCAGCCTCCCTGACCTGGCGGAAGAGCAGCACATTCCGGAGGTCTTCAACGTCATCTTCACCGGTGAGCTGCGGTAGTAGCGAGCCGTTGGGTCCCGTGCTGACCTTAGCTGGCCCTATGGCACGGGCTTCTGACGGCCATATCACCGCTAGGGGCTCTGTGCCACGGGCTTCTGACGGCCATAACATAGCTGGGGGCTCTGTAGCACGGGCTTCTGACGGCCATAACATAGCTGGGGGCTCTGTGGCACGGGCTTCTGACGGCCATATCACCGCTAGGGGCTCTGTGGCACGGGCTTCTGACGGCCATATCACCGCTAGGGGCTCTGCGATACGGTCTTCTGACAGCCATAACATAGCTAGGGGCTCTGTGGCACTGGCCTCTGACAGCCATAACATAGCTAGGGGCCATGCCACGGGATTCTGACAAATATAACACTGCTAGGGGCTCTGTGACAGGGCTTCGGACGGCCATATGCCACAGGCTTCTGACAAGTGTAACACCGTTAGGGGCTCTGTGACACGGGCTCCTGTCAAACATAACATCACTAGGGGCTCTGTGACACGGGCTCCTGGCAAACATAACATCACTAGGGGCTCTGTGACACGGGCTCCTGGCAAACATAACAATCGCTAGGGGCTCTGTGACACGGGCTCCTGGCAAACATAACATCACTAGGGGCTCTGTGACACGGGCTCCTGGCAAACATAACAACGCTAGGGGCTTTGTGACAAGGGCTCCTGGCAAACATAACATCCCTAGGGGCTCTGCGTTTTGATATCCCACACACCACCATGCACACACGCTTGAGTGAACAGAGCGGCGTGATGGACACGGGCGCGATCAGTGCTGCACGATGCGCTCTGGCGGGCTGGCAGCAATCTGAGTGAAAAGTTTCAGGGCCAGTGACCAAAGCATGGCGTGTTTTTAAAATGACGTAGAGGGCTGTAAGCAGGCGCATACACTGGAGCATGTAGACATATCCCAAGTGTCCCAAATCATACTTCTTTAGGCCAGGCAGATATGAATACCCTGTCTTTTCAAGCTCGGTTATGTGCTTTTACTTTGTTCACCAGCCGGCAGCAAGCAGCACGCGATCTCCTTCATATCCACCGGTCCAGCGGTAGATTCATACTCGAGCCGGCCCTGGCGGTGGGTCAACAAACTTCAGCTTGCCCGGGCGTGCTTGGATGGACTTGATGGCGCTGCACTAGCCGAATTCGGCTATCCGTGAGTACAGGAGTTCAGAGATAAGTGTTTGTTTTGAAACGCCTTGACGAGGGCAATTTTGATATTTTTCTGAGTACCGTTTATGACACATGCAACGACGGGATGCGTGCAGAAAGTTCTCAGAAGTATAGGATAGAGAAGCAAAGATAAGGATGCTTCCACAAATCATATATGGTTTTTACAAATCCTTTGGGCACATATTCAGTTTGCACTGTTCCTGAAAAATTTGGGAGGTAGTTGTCAACTAAGTCATTTTAAAGCTTCTACGGAACTCGCAAACAATTTCAGAAGCTGGGGATGTCCCCGAACAGGCATGTTTTCTCAAAAGATATGAGTGACTTACACGCAGCTGCTTTCGCATCTTGCACAGCGCACTACATCAAAGAAATAAACTGCGGCCTGTTTTGTTGCCCACAACTTGCACACTGTGTTTTCTTAACCTCAGGAGTGCCGCCGCGGCGCTGCTCGACTAGTAAGCGCCCGCTACCGCCACCCCCCACCCCGCCGCGCTCCATCCCATCTTCAGGCTCCCGCCCAGTCTCCGTCACAGGCCAATGCCCCCGTCTCTCCCTCCGTCAGGTACTCGGGCCCCTGCCCGCTGCGTCCCGAGGTGTCGCTGCCCCTCCTCGTCGGCCTGGCGCCGGCGGTGGACGCGGCGCCGGTCGTCACCTTCGACGAGCCCGCCTGTCGGTGCGAGGCGCTGGTCGGCGGTAAGGCTGCCTCGCTGGCGCTGATGACCGACCTGGAGCTGCCGGCGGTGCACGTGCCGGCCGGCGTGGTGGTGACGGCGGCCGCTTACCGGGATCAGCTGCGCCGGCGGCCGGCGCTGCGGCGGGCCGCTGAGCGCGTGGTGCGCGTGGCGGCTGGCACGGAGCACGGCGACCTGCGGCAGGCTTGCGACAGGTGATACTGGGACACTGGGACTGATACTGGGACTGGGACTGATACTGGGACACTGGGACTGATACTGGGACTGGGACTGATACTGGGACTGGGACTGATACTGGGACTGGGACTGATACTGGGACTGGGACTGATACTGGGACACTGGGACTGATACGTCACTGGAACAGGTGGGTCAGTGGGTCTTGTGGGTCAGTGGGTCAGGTGTGTGACTATAAAGGCGTCACCGGAACAAGTGGGTCGCGCGACAGGCTGTTGCTGTGACAGATGAGTTACCCCGGCGATGGGCCAATATGGCAGGGTGGGCTAACTATTGCGCCGAATTCAAGATGTGTGTAGGGCATGCACCTTCAAGTAAACAGAACAGCCGTAATCCACAGCCGTAAAACGAATCCTGACGTCCAGCTTGCTTATATCAAGAACAGCCATAGCACGTTGCTTCATATTCGATCTATCCTGCAGATGCACGCCGTCGTCACACAGCATATGTCGAATCTTGGGTACTTCTATGACATCAGGCATGTTTCTGATGTTCTCTTGCAACCATGTCCACGACGCGACGAACGGCCGTGTGTAAACTGAGCTCCGAATTAGTCGGGCGGTCCAGCGCATGTTCGCTGCAGCCTTCATGAGAGCTGTACATGTGCTGGCATTGCCTGTGTTTTACTTTCAATGCATTTTACAGTGCCGTAGAAGCAATCAGAGGTGCCCCGGTGAACACAGATCTCATGGCAAATTTGGAGTCGTCACTGAAGAAAAACGTTTGGAGATTTCTCCGAGCTGCGGTTCGCTGTGAGGTCCTCTGCCTTAGGTGAGAGACGCGTACTTTGCCAAAAAGCTGCGATTAAACAAAAATCCAGTGCTGACTAGCCCTCTTGTTCCGCAAATGTCCCTGCGTGCTCCTACGACGGGGATGTGTCCCTTGTTTGGGGATGCTATGTTCCATGAACAGCTCAAACCGCGGCGACTACGCTTGGAATTCGGGGACCCGTAGGGTGCGCTCGCTTACTTCTTTGAGTCGATTGTTGAGTTCATGTGTCCTGGATTGTCCTCCCAGACAGTGGAGGATAATGAGGACATATTCTGGCGTTTTCTTCCCCTGTCATGGGAGAGAGGTTGATAACAACAGCCCTTTCCCTGATCCATCCGCTTGCTGTAAGACGAGGAAACTGGGAGCCCGCCTCTGCCTGTCCTCCCGCCGCCAAATGAGGACAATGGAAGCCCGCCTTTGCCTGTCCTCCCGCCGCCAGATGAGGATAATGGGAGTCCGCCTCTGACCTACCCTCCTGATGCCGGGCGAGGACAATGGGATTCCGCCTCTGACCTGTCCTCCCGCCCCTGACCTGCCCTCCCGCCGCCAGGCGAGGACAGCGAGGAGCTGTCGGCGGCGGGTCAGAACGACACGGTGCTCGGCTGCCGGGGTCGGGAGCAGATCGCGGCGGCACTGACGCGCTGCTGGGCCTCCCTCTTCGCCCACCACTCGGTCGAGTACCGGCGGCAGCACGGCCAGCACATCCACCCGGGCATGGCCGTGGTCGTGCAGCGCATGGTGACCTCGGAGGTCAGCGGGGTCATGTTCACGCGTGACCCGGTCACGGGCGACCCGTCACGCGTGACCGTCACGGCTAACTACGGCCTAGGAGAGGTGAGTCCGGGCGGGCCGTCGGCAAAGGGCCGCCAGGGTCGGCTCGCACCTTGTCGCCAAGCTGGGCGTGGAAGGTTGTCGCTGGAACTGCTACACGTGTTACAGATGTCTTTCCAGCTGCTCCAAAAAATTCCGCGCGGAATTTTCTTTCCTGTCATTCGGCGATGAGATAGCTGTGGGCTGGGATGGTTAGCGTCATTAACAGTTTCAGTAAAACATTTTCGCCGTGCCTTGGTGCCAATACATGAATTGAAAGTATACCGCATTCAAACCTAGCTCCCAGCTTTTATACATTTCCCTTAAGGAACGCAAAGCTACTCGTGCAAGGCTGCTCGTGCACAAAGTGTGTCCAGCCGGTGAGGAGTCGCAGTTCGTCCCCTGAGACTCCGGCATGTCCACCGCTCCAGAGCGTCGTCTCTGCCAGGGTGGAGCCCGACACCATCACACTGCACAGAGGTCATGATGACCAGCTCAACATCACAGACCGCCAGCTGGGCTCCAAGCAGCTGCAGACGGTGATGGCAGGTGGGTGCCTTCGGAGGCTTCCGAAGCCTCCTCCGGGTCGACGCTGTGGCCCCACCGGCGGCCACATTGTTGTGCTGAGATGAGCTCCGTCGTGTAGAAACGGCGAATAAAGGCAGGAGAGAGAGAAAGAGAGAGGGGGGAGGGTGGGGGCTGGGCGGATAGAAGAGAATGGAAAGGGGCCTGAGGGGAGAAGGGGACAGCGACATAGAGGAATGTAGACAGGGAGAGAAAGAGAGGAGAAGGGGAAAGGGAAAGGTAAGAGACAACACGAAGATGATGGATTGGACTAGGAAATGATCTCTGGCAACGCTGCGTACCTCGGGCAGCCCAGTATCGCGATACTTTCTCCAACAGCGGCGCTTCAAATATACCCTGAGAGTCATTGTAATGCTTTACCTACCGTAGCTGACAGAGCAGTGTAAGTGCCCTTTCACCAACACCACACACTCGCAGGCGGGTCCTCTGCCCTCTCGCCCTGCACCGCGCTAAACTAAGCCTTGCTGAGCCTCTGTCTAGCCGTCACGCTAAGCCTCAGCCACCATCCAGCCACATGGACGGCGGTTGTCGGGCCGCTTGTCCGTCCGACGGGACCCCCCTCAGCTCGCCGCCCCGCCCCAGAGACGGGCTCGAGGAACGACCCTGGAGGCCGCCCCCGCTGCCTCTGAGGGACCCCCCCCCACTCACCTCTCGCCGCCCCGCCCTAGAACGTGGCACGGAGGCACCGCGAGCGACCCGCTGGAGGCGCGCCGGCTGCCTCTGACGGGACCCCCACCCACTCACCTCTCGCCGCCCCCGCCCCAGAGGACGGTGGCATCGAGGAACGACCGCTGGAGGGCGGCGCCGACGCCGCCGGCTGCCTCTGACGGGACCCCCACCCCACTCACCTCTCGCCATGGGGATCCCTCCCCTCACCTCTCGCCGCCCCGCCCTAGAGGACGGTGGCACCGAGGAACGACCGCTGGAGGGCGGCGCCGACGCCGCCGGCTGCCTCTGACGGGACCCCCACCCCACTCACCTCTCGCCGCCCCGCCCTAGAGGACGGTGGCATCGAGGAGCGACCGCTGGAGGGCGGCGCCGACGCCGCCGGCTGCCTCTGACGGGACTCCCTCCCCTCACCTCTCGCCATGGGACTCCCTCCCCTCACCTCTCGCCGCCCCCGCCCTAGAGGACGGTGGCACCGAGGAGCGACCGCTGGAGGGCGGCGCCGCCGCCGCCGGCTGCCTCTGACGGGATCCCTCCCCTCACCTCTGCCATGGGACTCCCTCCCCACCTCTCGCCGCCCCCGCCCTAGAGGACGGTGGCACCGAGGAGCGACCGCTGGAGGGCGGCGCCGCCGCCGCCGGCTGCCTCTGACGGGACCCCACCCCCTCACCTCTCGCCGCCCCCGCCCTAGAGGACGGTGGCACCGAGGAGGAACGACCGCTGGAGAGAGGCGGCGCCGACGCCGCCGGCTGCCTCTGACGGGACTCCCTCCCCTCACCTCTCGCCGCCCCGCCCTAGAGGACGGTGGCACCGAGGAACGACCGCTGGAGGGCGGCGCCGACGCCGCCGGCTGCCTCTGACGGGACCCCCACCCCACTCACCTCTCGCCATGGGACTCCCTCCCCTCACCTCTCGCCGCCCCCGCCCTAGAGGACGGTGGCACCGAGGAGCGACCGCTGGGGCAGCGCCGCGCACCGTGATGCCTCTCGGACGCAGACGCGCTCCGCCTGGCGCGGCTCGGGCTTCAGCTGGAGAAGGCGTTCGGAGGCGCGCGCGACGTCGAGTGGGCCGTGGCCGAGGTCAGTGACCCGTGACTGAGGTCAGGGATCTGTGATAGGGTCAAGGACCGCGCGACATATCCTGTCTCCTGCGATGTCTTGGAGGTGGGATGTTGGAGCGTGATTACGGCTGCGTTTGCCCCGACTGGGTTTTTTTCTATACGGTCTATGCACATTGGTATTTTACGATGTCTGTTAAAACTGAAAAGGCTGCATATATAGGTTTGTGGTAACTAAAGTACCATGGCGCCATAGGAGTGTTTAGAATCTGGGTAGATTAGCTCGAAAAGGCACTTTAAGCAGCCTTGATGCGTAAAAGTATCGTCTCGCAATGCCGTGTAAAGTTTCGGATCCGTCTTCGCTCAGTCTTCGATCGCACTCCGATGCGTGCGTGCATAGGGCTCTGCGCGTGTCAGAGCAGGCGCCGTGTCTGACCGGCCGGCCTCCCGACGCCGGGTGTGTTGACCTCCTGCCGCCGGCGCGTGGCCCGCAGGACACCCTGTACCTGCTGCAGTCCCGACCCGTGACGTCATTCACTGGCTGGACCGAGTTCGAGCTGACGCACGAGTGTGACTCAGCACTGCTCACCGATGAGGAATGTCTCACCACTGCCAACACCGGGTGAGAATACGCGTACGCGTGGCGTGATTCCGCGCGAACTCATGGGCCTGTTACACGGAAGAAAATGCCCGACAACCACGTGAGCATTACCTGCATGCCTGCTAAGATGCGCCAAGAACATGAAACTATTTGAGTAAATAGAGATGAGGGAAATCCCTCGCTCTTATGTGTGAATAGATTGCAGTTAGTTACGGCATAGACCTCTCGACTACTTTCTAAGTATGCAGAGGTTCTTGCGTGATAGACGCACAGTATCGCTGGCGTCTCGCTGCCTGCAGGCAAGGTAAGACCTTCGCTCTGGCAATAACGACGCAGGTAAGGCTCACCAATACCATGCGGTCCGCCGCGGCTGACAGTTCCCGCACGCACGGGCCTCGCGCCCCGCGTGTTAAAGCAGCGTCTCTGCGCCGCAGGGAGGTTCTGCCGCGCGCCCGGCGTGTTAAGGCAGCGTCTCTGCGCCGCAGGGAGGTTCTGCCGCGCCCCCCGCGTGTTAAAGCAGCGTCCCTGCGCCGCAGGGAGGTTCTGTCGCGCGTCCCGTGTGTTAAAGTAGCGTCTCTGCGCCGCAGGGAGGTTCTACCGCGCGTCCCGTGGTTAAAGCAGCGTCTCTGCGCCGCAGCAGGTTCTGCCGCGCCCCCCGCGTGTTAAAGTAGCGTCTCTGCGCCGCGGGGAGGTTCTGCCGCGCGCCCCGCGTGTTAAAGCAGCGTCTCTGCGTCGCAGGGAGGTTCTGCCGTGCGCCCCACGTGTTAAAGTAGCGTCTCTGGCGCCGCAGGAGAGGTTCTACGGCGCGTCCCATGTGTTAAAGTAGCGTCTCTGCGCCGCGGGAGGTTCGCCGCGCGTTCCGTGTGTTAAAGTAGCGTCTCTGCGCCGCAAGGAGGTTCTGCCGGCGCCCCCCGCGTGTAAAGCAGCGTCCTCTGCGCCGCAGAGAGGTTCTGCCGCGCGTCCCGTGTGTTAAAGTAGCGTCCTCTGCGCCGCAGGGAGGTTCTGCGCGCGTCCCGTGTGTTAAAGTAGCGTCTCTGCGCCGCAGGGAGGTTCTACCCGCGCGCCGTCACTCCGCTCACCAGCAGCACATGTGCTACGGTTTGTCGAGTGGAGATGCAGAACTTGCGCAAGTACCGACGAGCTCCGGCCCTGCCGTGTCCGCACCTACGCCCGGCAGTACTGCGTCCTGTCACATCACCGCTTCGGGATGGACGTGACGAAGGTAGGCCGGCGCTCCTGCCGTCGACAGGCTGGGGGAGGTGCGCCGGCCAGCTGGGCTGTGAGGTTTGGCTCAGTGTGGTGGTAACCGTTCTGGTTCCTGATTGGGGCGCCTGGGACGCGACGTGCCCTTGACCTGGACGTGTCCTTGACCTGACGCGGGGTTTCCTTAAATTGACGTGCACTCAGCCTAACACACCCCTGACCTGCCACACCCATGATCTTCCGCACACCTGACCTGCCATACACCCGACCTTCTGCACAACTGGCCAGTCACACTCCTAATCTTCCACACACCTGATCTGCCATACACCTGACCTTTCGTACCCCTGACATGACACACAGCTGACCATTCCACATCCCTGACCCTCCGTGCCCCGAACCTGCCACACCGCTGACCTTCCGGACCCCTCACCCTTCGCACGCCTGAGCTGTCACACCTCTGACCTGAGGCCGACCCTCCCCGTCGCCAGACGTTCCTGTCGACGCTGCAGTCCTGGGAGGAGCATGACGCGGAGCGCACCATTCAGCTGACCATTCTCGGCCACCTGGAGGACTGGACCCGGCCGCGGAGAACGGCCGTCCACCGCTACGGCGTGCTTAGCTGGCACGCCAGGATGCACCAGATGATCTCCATGGCGGGGGTGGGTGCGGCCGTCGGGGCTCGGCCGCACGGGCGGCCGGCTGGCACCGGTCACAGACCACCCAGCCGGCCAGCTGCGGCCCTGCGGTCCGGGTGCAGATCCTCCGCCAGGCTGGCCACGTGACCTAGCTGGCCACGGAGCGCCTTACATTCGCCGGACATACGTTCATACGCGCATGTATGAATACACATGCGCATGCATGGATATATTTATACATAAATACGCACCTGCGCGCATACTTGAATGCGTGCATGCATGCAGATACACGCACACATGACGTGCGTGAAAAGTGCTTCTCATATCTCTCCAGCATTCTCCCTACGTCCACACTTGCACCCATTCATGCAGTTATACTCGTAATCACACGCGCAACCAGACAACCAGCAACCAGTGGACGCCCCACCCCTCGAGCGGACCCTTTGCTGCCCGCCGCCCAGAGTGGGGGCGTCACCAGCTGACCGCGCTGCTCCTCCCCGGCGCAGTTGACCTGGCACATCGCCGAGGACGTGCGCCGCGGCCAGCGCGACTTCGGCCGTCTGCGCCTGCGCACTGATGGTCTGACCACGGCGCAGCAGGCGCTGCGCCACGTCTGCCACGAGCTGCGCCACATGCAGCGCGTGATACAATGCCACCTGCTCAGTTCGACGTGGAGCCAGGCACCGCAGATGGCGCTGCTGCTGCTGCTGGCCGAGGACGGCGCGCGTGAGTGAGCGGCCGCAGCCGGGCGGCGCCGTAGCACCGGCGGCTGTTGATGCTGTTGGCCGAGGGCGGCGCTCGTGAGTGGGCGGCCACAGCCGGGCGGCGCCGTAGCGCCGGCGGCTGTTGCTGCTGTTGGCCGAGGGCGGCGCGCGTGAGTGAGCGGCCGCAGCCGGGCGGCGCCGTAGCGCCGGCGGCTGTTGCTGCTGCTGGCCGAGGACGGCGCTCGTGAGTGAGCGGCCGCAGCCGGGCGGCGCGGCTCCACGCGCCGCTCTGGCGGCTGCTACGCGGCGCCTGGCTGATGACGTCACTAGCTTGGCGTGCCTTCGACGGGGCGCGTGCAATTTGGCTTTAACTGACCCGGGCGTTCATGAATTCGTTGACTGATGACAGCGGATGCGGTGCGATGGCGGTTCACCTCAGATGTCGCTGCATTTTGGTTTTGGAAATCGTCTCCAGGCCGTGGAAACTTGCAGAATCTTGGATTGGAAAGGACTGACCCGTAGAAGTGAGGCAGACAGAGTTTCCGGTATCTCCATTTGGACATATCCAGCAACCTTGAACATCCTTTTGTGCAGCGTTCGCGGTTTAACGCCAAACACAAATGATGCTGTCGTTGTCCTTGGGACTTGACAACGTCCTCACCTGTTCAGGCTATGTAGTATGGTGGCATCACCTGCCTCCCACCCTAGCAAGAAGAGCGGGCCCCGCCGGGAATCGAACCCGAGATCTCTGGATACCCAGATGCGCACCGCACTACCTGCACCCCTATGAATGATGCCACTAAAGGCTTCAAATTAGGTAGCAGTTTTGAAACCTCTGGTTAATTGAGCGAAATTCGGCAGATCTCAACGCTTATGAAAGGCAGCACTGTGTGAGTACGGCTGCACTTACCAAGCCCAGTACCAAGTACAAGTACTGACCAAGTACCAAGCTCTGATACCCAAACGAGAAGTGCTCTGTTTGCACTGACCCACCAGCGTGGTGTTAGCCCGGACCAGAGCAGTCTAGCCCAACAGCCTTCCGATCATTGTAAACGCCATCTGAACACTAGATGCTTCTGAGGCAAACACGCCTGCATTTAGAAGTAAACAGACATCTGTAGGTGCGCCTTTGCAGCGCCGCCGCGCTACGCCCCTGTGTCCTGCCAGTCCACAATGGCCTTCAGCGCCGCCTCACCACGTCCCCGTGTCCTGCCAGTCCACAATGGCCTTCAGCGCCGCCGCACCATGTCCCCGTGTCCTGCCAGTCCACGATGGCCTTCAGCGCCGCCTCACCACGTCCCCGTGTCCTGCCAGTCCACAATGGCCTTCAGCGCCGCCTCACCACGTCCCCGTGTCCTGCCAGTCCACATGCCTTCAGCGCCGCCTCACCACGTCCCTGTGTCCTGCCAGTCCACAGCGGCCTTACAGCGCCGCCTCACCACGTCCCCGTGTCCTGCCAGTCCACAATGGCCTTCAGCGCCGCCTCACCACGTCCCCGTGTCCTGCCAGTCCACAATGGCCTTCAGCGCCGCCTCACCACGTCCCTGTGTCCTGCCAGTCCACAGGCCTTACAGCGCCGCCTCACCACGTCCCTGTGTCCTGCCAGTCCACAATGGCCTTCAGCGCCGCCTCACCACGTCCCTGTGTCCTGCCAGTCCACAATGGCCTTCAGCGCCGCCTCACCACGTCCCTGTGTCCTGCCAGTCCACAGCGGCCTTACAACGCCGCCTCACCACGTCCCTGTGTCCTGCCAGTCCACAATGGCCTTCAGCGCCGCCGCGCCACGTCCCTGTGTCCCGCCAGTCCACAATGGCCCGGGAAGCGAGCACCGCAGAGCCTGTCTTGTGGAGCGAGTGTTACAGCTGTGTCTTACGGTATGCAGACACATATTGTCTGTGTCATTCCAGTGTGCGGCCATCACTTGAGATTGGCATTCATAATGCCACTACTTTCCGTAACTGCATTTCTTCACTCGTCGGCTGGCGTAACAATTTCATTTCACATTTTCGGCAACGTTAACTACCGGCCATTTTCTACGTTTAGGTACCATTAAGGTAATTGTACGTCTTGTACACTTTGTACCTTGAGGTACAGTTATGATCGATGTGACTTTTTACATTTTGTACCGCTCTTGTAACCGTGCATGCGTGTGGCTCTGGATTGCAGGTCCTTTCGACCAGGAGGTCTTCTCAGTGTTTGCCATGCTGCTCTCCTCCTGCAGTGGGGCTGTGTCTGCTGACGTTCCCAGCGCTCTGGAGGTGACGGCGCGCGGCCTCTGTCGCCTCTGGCGCGCGGCTTCTGTCGCCTCTAGCGCGCGGCTTCTGCCGCCTCTGGCGCGCAGCCTCTGTCGCCTCTGGCGCGCGGCTTCTGTCGCCTCTGGCGCGCAGCTTCTGTCGCCTCTGGCGCGCGGCTTCTGTCGCCTTTGGCCGGCTTCTAGTCAGGACCTGTCGTTGATCGTGGTTTCGCATAAGCCCGGCTTGCTTTGGCGCTTATAATACTCTTCCAGAGTTCGCTCTTTTAGTTCGATCGTTTGTTGATTCTCTTGATTTATTAAAAGATTCGAGCTGCGCTCTTGCTCAGGATGCCACATTTGCGTGTCGCATGGAGTCAGCGCTGTACAGTACCGGGGGGGGGGGGGGAGGAGGGGTACACAGGGCGCCTCTCCAGATTTTGCCTATTGCCTTGCTCCATGCATCTCTCTGCGTGGCATCGTTTCAGGCTGCTCATGTCCTCCATCCGGAGGTCACCTGACCGCTCTGAAAGCTGACCTAACCTGGGGTCACTAACTGGTGGGTGCTCACTGTCGCCAGCGCCTGGCCCGCCTGATCGCGTCCTCGAAGGACGCCGCAGCGTTCCTCTCGGCCTCGCAGGAGGACGGCCTGCACTGGCTGCGGCACCGTCACACCACCGTGGCCGCCTTCTTCGAGGACTTTCTCGCCACACACGGACACAGGGCCCTCAACGAGGTGGGTTCACCGGCGGCAGGCTCAGCACCGCGCATGAACACGCTCAGCTCTGTCAGCCCACAGGCTGTAGGAGTCGGCTACCTCTGGCCACGCATGCTGACAACGAGACGGTTACATACAGGACTTAAGCGAATGTCGGATGACTGTCGAGGTCACAGCGAGGACGCAATGCAGTATCTCATTTGTTCACGTGAGCATGATGTACGAATGGGACACGAATCTGCCATTCACTGACTTAATGTCTTAATTTGAGCAAACTCGGGCTTTTCAGTTAGGTTATTGTATTACTTAAGTCCGCGTAGCTTGTCTGCCACGGCTGTATCGAATTTAACGTCAAACGCTGGCGCAGCACGAAGGCAGCTTATGATGAAAACTTGTCCCGCTTATCCAAAGGTGTTCTGGGTGTCCATGAAGGGCTGCTGATGACGGCTTGTGGACCGTAGCATTTGTTTTACTGCCACGCCCTTTTCACACGGCATGGAGCACGTCTGCACCGAAAGCACATTTTCCTCGGACGCCATTGCCTTCAGCACCTCATTTGTGTGTAACAAACTCATCGCCATAACAAAGAAACATCGTTATCTTCAACCGCTATGTCACCATATGTCATCATCACGCAACGACGGGGCGCCGCTAGAACGCTTAGTCGGAGAAAACTCACAGCTCGCAAAAAAGTGATGGTTTCCTCTTTGGCTTTGTTCCTGCGCGTCACCGACTTCCTACCTGGCGGGATATCTAATCTCCTGCCTGCCGCGCTCCGCCGCAGCTGGAGCTACACACCACACCGTGGGCGCTGGACCCAGGCGCGCTGGTCGCCACACTGCAGACCATGGTGCGGAATCCGGACTCCCTGCGGAACACCAAGCAGGAGACGGACGTGCCACAGGCGCTGTCCCAGCTGACGGTTCCCCTCTCCGGCATGACCAGGTCAGTGGTGATGGACACCATTCCAGACCATTGTTCTCGGCAACTCGTTTGCGGCCGATGCTGGGGTGAGGTCTCTCGCTTTGTCCGCATTGTGCTGAACGTGATAACACTAGTGTTTTGTCATGCATTCTTTGACATAGTCATGACGGTTATTACTAGGCATCACTAGTTATATCCAGGCGAGATTCCGGGAGCATCAGTACAGGTCTCTTGTGGGAAGTTACCGCAAATCACATTACATCACGGATTAGACGAGTGATGACGTTGGGGCTAAATGAATACATCTGCTTCTTATGCCATTTTGCGCACGATATATTTGACGCAAATCATAAACAGCACGTATTATACCACCACCAGTGAACAGTACTGCAGCCTGCAATACCATCCATCGACAAGTGGAGACAACCGAATGCTTCCGGGCTGTTGAAGCGCTGTCCAGGACGTAGGCTTTCTCTCCTATGAAGACACCGAAGCTTGCTTGCAGCGCGGGCTTTCCCGCGGCGGTCACGGCTTCTCTCGCCTCCGCCCTGTGCCGGCGCTGTTCAGGCTGCACCGCTTCCCTGCGGCGGTCACGGCCTCTCTCGCCTCCGCCCTGTGCCGCCGCTGTTCAGGGCTGCACCGCTTCCCTGCGGCGGTCACGGCCCCTCTCGCCCCCGCCCTGTGCCGGCGCTGTTCAGGGCTGCACCGCTTTCCTGCGGCGGTCACGGCCTCTCTCGCCTCCGCCCTGTGCCGGCGCTGTCCGTCAGATCGCCCCTCCCAACCACCGACCTGATGTGTGTCACCTTCCTCACTTCACTCGGCGTGTTTGACGCCTCACGTGGTCGGTTACGTCGTCGCCAACCAACAGAAGATGTGTGCACCGCATCATCATCGCATAATCTGGCCTGGACACGGGAGATGCTGCACCTCCGCACCCCACCGTGACCGGCCGTCCCGTTTCGTCCTGTCCCACAGGCGGCTGGTGTCCTTCGTGCTGCCTTACGCTCGTCGCGGCGTGGTCCAGCGCGAGCAGACCAAGTCGCTGCTGGTCCGGATGCTCCACCAGTTCAGGCTGGCCTTCAGGTAATGCCACTCCGCACCCCGAGAGACGAGTGCGGAGCGCGCCAAAGGTCACCAGGGCGTGTCTTAAGAGCCTGTCAGGTCTGCCGTCACTTCGTCGCAATCTACCTAACATAGGTCGTGACAATGAGGTCAATATATGACATGGGTTACGATCAGCCTGTAGCGGCCGCTATGTCATGATAATCTGTGACGGCCGCAGTCGAAAGCAGTTTGCGGCAGCCGCCGGGTACGTGACAGCCTGCGGTTCAGAGTCGGTGCAGTGCAGCCTATACGGGTGTCTGACGCGGCCCCTTGAGCCTATCGCCTAGTCCGTCCTTCTCAGCCTAAGGAGCCCGTCTGCCGCAGTCACCTCGTCAGAGCCAGCCTGTTACCGCCCACCGAGTGTATCCGCAGCGGCTTGTCTGCCGCGGTCCGCTGCGCGTCACAGCGCGTGCGTCTCACCGGCCCGTGTCGTGACGACAGACGCCTGGCGGAGCTGATGGTGCGGGAGAGCCGCCTGCCCGACTCCGACCTTGTCTTCTTCCTCACCCTCTACGAGATTCAGCGCCTGCTCGACACACGCTCGCCGGCCATCGTTACCAAGTCAGTGCCGGCGCTGGCGGTGGAGATTCAGGGGCGCGGCTCAGCTGCAGCTGCTGTTGAGTGACGGAGTACAAACGGCAGCCGCGTTAGTTGCGATGGAACCGCGCCTCATCAGTCCGCCGGACAAACTGCGAACATCTTGCGCTGACACTAGCTAGCAATAATGCACATCTGTTTACTTACTGTGTCCAAGCCACGAATAGGTTCATGATGTGAAATCCTTTCCGTCTGGCGGGCGCCAAGCCACGTTACTTCTGAGCTCGGGACCGATCCCCTGCCGCCGCCGCCAGGGCGCTGCGCCGTCGCCGTCTGTTCCCGAAGCTGGACCGGATGCGCTTCCCCGAGATGATCTACGGCGTGCCGCGCCCCCTGGCGGCACAGAGCTCGAGCCAGGGCACCGCCGGCCACCTGGCGGTGACCGGCACGCCCGTCTGCCAGGGCCGCGTGCAGGGCACGGCCCGCGTGGTGCGCGATCTCGCCCAGGCCATCGAGATTCAGGTGCAAAGTTCACCGCTGGATGTGGGCATCGACATCAATGGGGGGGGGGGGGGGATTGATTATATGTGGCGGCCACTTGTAAGAATTATTTAATGTGCAAGTTTTCTGTCCGCCGGGTTTGTGAACCACTTGCTTGAGCATGACGTGATCAGGTGGTCGAAAGCTGAGTGCAAAAACATTATAAGCATCACAAACGTAATGATGGAACCGCCTTCACAAACGGTTGTCTCCAAGGAACACGTTTTTCCCTGCCTTAGAACGACGACATTCTGATCACGCACGCCACGGACATCGGCTGGAGCCCGTACTTCCCGGTGCTGAGCGGCGTGGTAACCGAGCTGGGCGGTCTGATCTCACACGGCGCGGTGGTGGCGCGCGAGTACGGTCTGCCCTGCGTGGTGGGAGCCACCGGAGCCACCGACCTGATTCAGTCCGGTCAGTACGGGTGCCCTGGGTGGTTCCCTGGAGCGAACTTGAGCCCGGTGGGGCGATGGTTCCCTGGAGCGAACTTGAGCCCGGTGGGCGATGGTTCCCTGGGTGGTTCCCTGGAGCGAACTTGAGCCCGGTGGGGCGATAGTTCCCTGGGTGGTTCCCTGAGCGAACTTGAGCCCGGTGGGGCGATGGTTCCCTGGGTGGTTCCCTGGAGCGAACTTGAGCCCGATGGGGCGATGGTTCCGTGCTACGCATGTTTTGTGTCCTACCGTTTATGGAGTCCCCAGTGGGAGGCAGGAGGGAGTGAGCCTCATCAGTTTGTGAAATGTTGACGTAAAAACTGAGGCCACCGCGGAACTGGCGGCACGCCAAGCACGATTCCGGCCGAGAGCTCGGGGCACGGAGTTTATCAGTGACAGTTCTCTGACTGTGTGTTTAGCAGATCTCTGACTGTGAGCTTGGGCATGTTTGAAACAGCGTCTTTGTTAGGGATGTGGTTTTCTATTCGTGGTGGGGGGGGGGGAGGGGGGGGGGGGAGATTGGAGGGGTTGACTGGGGGAGGTCAGCCACTGAACTTGGGCTCCATCCCCAAACTTTGGGAAGTGCGTGGGCCAAATCTGGGGAAAATCTGTTTGCTGCTATGCCTTGGGGTAGTTTGAGCCATTTTTCACTGTTCACACCCCAGCACATTTTGTAGAAATATGCCCCTGGTGCTACTTTTAAAGGGAAAGTTTGACATTTGAAGGCATTGAAGTAAGCACCAGACATGGCGAAGCAAGCCCACCTATAGCTGTTGATAAACTTAAGTAGAAAAGGAAAATGACAATCCTATGTTATTATCCTCAGAGGAAAATGCCGAGGATTGTTTTAATCGAGGATAGTGCCGAGAATTGTTCTGTTTGAGGATAAAACCGACGATTGTTCTGATCGAGGATAATTCCGACAATTGTTCTGATCGAGGATAATTCCGAGGATTCTTCTGATCGAGGATAATACCAGGATTGTTCTGATCGAGGATAATGCCGAGGATTGTTCTGACCAAAGATAATGCAGAGGATTGTTCTGATCGAGGAAAATACTGAGGACTGTTCTGATCGAGGATAATACCGAGGATTGTTCTGATCGAGGATAATACCGAGGATTGTTCTGGTCAGGGACAATACGGGGGATTTTTCTGCTTGAGGATGATACCAAGAATGGACAAAATTGTTTTTTGTGACCATCCGTCGGGCCTTAGAACCTTGGCTCGATGACGTCAGAACCCAATTAGGGATCTGATCCGGTCAACAACTGGGCACCGTTTATTTGTTCAAGTGACACGGGACGCCGTTTGCTCATGAAATGCTGCTGTTGTGGAGTCAAATAAACACCCCATTCGTCTCTGCTCCGCAAGGCGACATCGTCATCCTGGATGGGACACTGGGCACGATCACGCGCCTCCAGCCGTCCAGTGACCGCACCAGATGTTCCGTCGCAGAGGCTCCCAGATTCCGCCACAGAGTGCCAGTGACCGTTCAGAGTCCGCCCGCATGGGCTCTGTTAGGGTGGCAGTTCCCGGGCCCCGTGATCGGCTCAGTAGGCGTGGCCCCCCGGCCGTGATCGGCTCAGTAGGCTGGCGTCCCCGGCCGTGATCGGCCTCAGTAGGAGTGGGCCCCCCCACCCGGCGCTGATCGGCTCATGTTAGGCATGGCGTCCCCGGCCGTGATCGGTTCTCAGTAGGATGGGCCCCCTCTCCCCCGGCCGTGATTCGGCCTCAGTAGGATGGCGTCTCCGGCCGTGACATTGGCGGGCGCCACCGTCGGATGGTGCTTGCGCTGTCGGCCGGTGCATGGGGCGGGGATCAGGGGCGACCCTGGCTCCCGTGCACAGACGTTGGTTTGATCCCACGTCAAGATCACAATGAGGCTCTAGCGCTACTGATTTCACTGTTGATTTCGCTCCAGATCATGCAACAAATGAGGGCATGGATCGGGCTATCCGCATCGGCACAGGAAAACCTGATGATTATTGCGATGCCTTCAATGCAACATACTTATGATCATCATACACGGTGCTGAACAGTGACTGGAATGCTGGTGATGTCTGCGATGAAAACATAGAACACAACATACAAGTTTAACCACTCTTCAGCATCGGTTCACAGCGCAACGAGATATTGTTCAGAACAATACATTTATTCCGCGTGAGTGACTCAACCGGTGGCGTGGTCAGGGTTTTCAGAGTGCTCAGAACTGGAGGGGGGGGGGGGGGGAGCGGAGGGACGAGCGGAGCTCCTTGCATAAAACAAGCTAAACCCAGCGATTTCCACATATGGCACGGAAGTCCCCGGCTTTGTAGAATCTTATTCCGACGTTTTGGGAGCGGGGGTGACGTTTCCCCTGCTGGCCACCTCGTGGCCAAGCCTATGCGAACGACAACAACGTACTTCGAAAGTGGAGCTCAGCACGCACGCACGCGCACACGCACGCACGCACGCACGCACGCACGCACGCACGCACGCTCTCACACACACACACACACACACACACACACACACACACACACACACACACACACACACACACACACACACACACACACACACACACACACACATTCAATATTTACCAGCCAAACATAGTGAAATATGAATATGTGAGGCTCTTCGGGTGATATGAATCAGGATAGTGCAGAAAACGCGCCAAGTAATGAAGTAATCAGTCATCGGTCGGTGGCCTGTTCCCTGAAGAAAAAAAAACTGAATGTCATCTCATCGTCTCCAAGCGACCGGGCTTCTGGTCTGGCTTCAAACGTTGCAGCTGGCCTTACCCCGCCACCTCCTCGATATCGCTGGCGCCGCTGAGGCTCTCGTCGCTGCGGTACTCGAGGCCGTGCGGGCCGCGGGACGAGTACTCCTCCATCACGGGCAGCCGCAGCATGAACGGCTTGGGCTTGCGCAGCAGGTAGGCCTGAGCGGCGACGGTGGCGCCGCCCGCGGCGTCCAACCGTACCACGGACTCGGCACACCGCTCGTAGTGTCTCGGCACGCCTTCGAACCGGTCCAGCCAAGCCAGCTTGGCGACGTCGACCGCGTACAGTTCGCCGCGCACGCGGTGGCCCTGGCCCGGCGCGTCCACGAGGTACGGGATGTTGTACCTGGGGGACGGGGGCGCGGTGAAAGTAATGGGATGCGAAGAGAGACGGAACAACCAGCGAAGAGAGCCGCCGTGGTAACGTCGACGCGCGGAATGAGCCACATCTTGAAAAGAAATTCAACAGAGAGACGAGTCAGGACCCAGAGAGCGCCATGTGACAGGCAATAGGGGGGGAATTCAGATATAAGCAAGAGATAAGGACGCTAGATACAATGGCTGAGTGGTTGTCGCGAGAGGCCGGAGCTCCCCCTCCCCAGCCATACCGCTGTCGTGCTCCTGCCGCACCCCACAGGCCCCACCTGGAGGCGATAACCAGTGGGAGGCGCCGCTCGGTGACGGCTGGTGCCACTAGACGAGCCAGACCCGTCTGCTCATCCATCAGCAGGCGGTGGTTCGGCTCCCCCGCCTTCAGTGTGCCGTACACGAAGACCAGAGCGCCGTCCATTGAGAGCCTGAAACATCGGAACGCCGGACCTCGCTGTCACGCATCAGTGACAAAGGTCCGTTTGTGCCGACGTCGATCAGTTACAGCTGACAACGACCTCTAGCACCGGCACGGAAGAAGCGTGGCGCTGGTACAAAACGTTAGCGTAGCGCTGGTACAAAACGTTAGCGTAGCGCTGGTACAAAACGTTAACACCGTAATGTGGACCCAAAAATATTCACAATTTACGTCCCATTTATGTCTTGATTGCGCTGTAGTAACACTACCCAGTGCTATTGTGAGACGTAACTGATCGTGAGGTTTAACTGGAATATATTTTCTAAAACATGCCCCAAGCGTGGGACAACTCCCTTTAGGATCAACTTCGCTAGATGCGCGCAAAAACGCCACCAACCGCAGCCAACATCAATGCATGTAGACTGCGGCGAGACAGGGGATGAGCTAAACTGAATTTGGCTTAGATATACTGATCATTTTGCAGAATGCAGTGAGGTTGCTCGCTTTTGAATAACACCTAACCATGGAATTTCACCCCAAACAGCTCTCAAAAACACCAACACATGTCAGCAATCTTTAACCCCTGGCCATTAGGTGAGTAGAAGCAAATGACGTGCTGACGGGACAGTCCAATGTGGCAGCGGGCTGCGGTACCTACCACGCTCGAGCGCCCCCCCCCCCCCCCCCCCAACACCGTTGCCGCCCCGACGCCACTGGACGGGGCGATCGCCATCAGTCAGCCTGACCTTGGGGGGGGGGGGGGCGTGCGGTAGAGGTGCAGAATTTTGCGAGTACGGGTACAGACTACAAAATAGATGTGACGGCGGCCCATTGACACAAAACAGCGAAAGGCGCAACCGACGATTTTTTACATGCTTTTGTACTCACATCGAAGTTACGGCCAGGGTGTCGTTTTCTAAAATTGGTGGAGTGAGGCTGAGCTGATTAAGTGGCAAATAGCCTAACCAGAAGACCGCATTTCCCCCGGAATTCGCTGACCATTGTTGAGGTTCCCCATTTACAATAGTAAAAGAAGGCCTTTACTTTATCTTTAGGCTTAGGTCTATGTTTTAAATGTTTAACCAATCCCAAAATTATGTTGGTACTGAGGAATGGCTTCCTA